GTTTGAAACCAACAAAAAATAATCTGTGAAGTGATTTAAATGCAAATTATTCACAGAGTTAGACGAAAAAGTGTTCTCGGGCTTTCGTACACCTTCTTATTTTTATAATCTAAGGATTAACAAATTTAAAGTTAATTATTTTAGCTAAACCAAGTCTAAACCAAGTCTCTCAAAAATGTAGGAAATTTAGAGCAAGTATGACTACAAGTATATTTGTAATTGCTGTGAACTGAGTGACACGAAGGTTTGAAGGTGAATTGACTGACAGTGCTGAAAATAAGACTAAGTACAAGTTGTTGACATTTCGACGGCTTCGACGGATCAACATAAGTCGATACTATCAGTCAACGTACCAGAAACGATTGCGTAATTTACAGGGAATAACTGAAAACAACGAAGAAATTCTAAGAGGCAAACGAAAAAATTAAATAAAAATAAATAAAGAAGCTTACTTACAATTAATTAAACTTTCCAGGAGGATTCTAGCCTACGTGTGACGATGATAGCCCAAAAAAGCGCCCAAAACAAATTTTAATAAATAAAACACTGACAGTTAAAACATATTTGTTCTTAATTGTAATTTCAAATTTCCGAAGGATGCAAAATATTAAAGAATGATTTCAAAAGATATCGTATACTCGGTTTTCGTACAGAAATTCATTCTCCTCCGGCTTTTACCCCGCAGTAAATAAAAAATGGATTAAACCAATTCATTGAGAAAATTTAATTAATTATGAAAAATGGTGGTGTTTAATTTTAAAGAGAAATTTCGCAGCTTATGTTCTTTTTAGGTAAATTTTATCTCAGTGATCAGCGGGAAAGTTTGACGTGAAAATTTAAGAACAGTGTGTATTGTTTGTCATATCGCCGCCAATAGTTGAAAATATACTGACCGGAAGGGCAATATTCACAACATCCAATCAGAGCGCTGAAAATTTTCTCCATAAAGTTATTAGTTGTGTTAAGGCTATTTGCTATGTGAGTCAGGAAAGGAATTGCTTTAATCACACGAGGGGATAAATTACCTTCTTTTTTATTCTGCTATTCGATCGGTCAAAACTAAGTCTTCGGCGTTGTGAACGGAGTTCATCTTGCGAACAACATGTTATCATCAGTCTCTATTATTGTGATCTTTCTTGGGGTGCTCATTTTTATCGTTGCGGCCTTGGTTCTTTGCTGTCTCTGTTGTCATCTACGCTCGAGGACGAAGAATCAACAAGGCTCCTCTGTGAATTATGTGGCTCACGGAAGGGGAAAAAGCGAGAAAGAAACTTCGGTTACCGAGTTGTGAAAGAGCGAATCCCGCGCGTTTACACGTTTATGACAAAAGAACATTTTCTAGTTAGTGTGGTATTAATGATGGAAGCTGTTTTTTCATATCATTGCTCGCCGTGCGTGCTTGCTTTCACCTGCGGTTCCATTGTGGATCAGTGGAGAACTTAACGAAAATTAAGCGAAGATGCGCAATCATTATGCAGCTGTAGAGGAGCTTGAGCAACTGGGATGCCCAAACAATCCATAGTGAACATAAAAGGGCCAATGGTATCTCATGAAGTAGCCAAAGATGCTTCAATTATAGTGTCCGTGATTGTGGCTGACTGACTGAAACGGGTACTCATGCAATGAAGCATTTACTTTATCAAAACAATTTACCAGGAAAAAAAACAGTAGAAGGATGAAAGGGATTGTTTTTAATCCTACAATGAAGCAATCGTCCGTCTTGTTTACATGACAAACGGAAACAACTCCCTTATTCGATGAGGACTTTGTATGCTAGACATTTTCCCTAAAACTGTTAGCAGCAGGAAGGCGACGAAACAATGTAAACGAGTTATAGAAACTTCTGTCTACCTACGAAACATCTTTTGGGGCCAGCTAATAAAGTAGAACATGCAGCTTAGTTCTATGACTTACGGCTCAGGCTTCTAATTAAAGAGCTAATTCTTAAATGTGGTAGGCTTCTCTCCACTCACTCATATTTGCATTGTTTAAAGTCGCTGAATCCCTTCCACAATTCAAGGTTTGGAACACCCAGGCAACGAATCCTCTTGGTGAAATATCTTCCGGTAAAGCGATTTTAGTCTTTAATTAAATAGACGATTGAAAAAAACCCTCAAGTTTTCATTAGTAAAATGACACCTGAAAATGTAGGTTTTACTTAATGGTATAAGAACTTGTGTCTTTTTCCCTTTGTTTTCTGCCTAGTAACGGCTATTTTGTTTTAAGCCTGGCTGGGATATATAATATAGCGGCTAAAACTTCGAAGTATAGTTTCGTTTGAAATACGTAACCTTAGTAAGAATTTAATCAACAGGAGAAAGACCCAACTGAAATCTTTAAAATAAGGTTTTGCTCTTTTTTCCTTTTTCTCTCTGTTGCTGATCATTTACCAATTCAATAGCCGACGGATTAGACCATATCAATACCCGGCGTTAATATCTAGTACGAGAGTAATGAGTGGTAGCGACGCCGTTTCCCTGGTAAAACGTTATCCCTCTAGTCGGGTGCTGTTCAGATGGCCGCTATTAATAACATCCAATACTATTAATAGCATTTAAATCGTGCAAAGCCAACTTATGATTGACAAACACAAATTTTTCAGTGAGAATAATGATTTTGCTAATTTTTGCAAGGTTGCGAAATTACCTCGTCCGTAATTCGATATATTTCTTTTATGAGGATTTTACAGAATACATGCACATGATGTTTCGCATGTTTTGAGAATCGCAGAAACTTTTTTAATTGTGTAATTTTGTCGATGGAGTTCTTTTTTTTCTTAGTTTTCTGCCATACTGCAGATTTTAAAAAAAATCCTGTAAATTTTGGCCTTTTTTTCATTATTGTAAATTTTCACATAGAAGACTATGATTTTCATAAATGTTTTTCGAGGTCCTGTACATAAACTAGTCTCTTTCTTTCTTAAAATAATTATTAAACTCATTGTATTTATTAATGATTTAAAATAGCAACAATATTGAAATTTAGAATGAAACAGATGTTCTGTATTCCCTGAAAGAATTGTTATTACGCAATCTTTTGATATAAATTAAACGACGTACTTCGGGACAACGTCCAACTGCTTTCATTGCATGGAGCTTTTCGGTAGCTGCCTACTTGATTGATTTCTTTTTATCTATTTCTGACACATGATGATGAAAAATGCATTTAACTCAGAAGCAATTTTAAAAAAGTCATGAATTGAAAATAAACAAAAAGTTCATGCAGCTCAATAATCTTGTTTGGTCGTCAAAGCTCTCTATTTCCTCAATCCTTCAGTTTCAACCAGATTGTTGAAGGTGTGCTAACGTATAACGATCAATAAAAATATGCGGACGTCTCAGGAATTAGGCTTCCGTTTAATTACAACCTCTACAAATAAATTTGCTGAATCAACACCCTAAGATTCTCTCTCAGACCCACAGATCGGATAGTATTGCAAGTGAGAGGCTCAGTGCTGTCTCGTCTGGTTATAAAAAAGCTTCTGTTGCACAAAGATAGTAGATCAGCCATTCGTATGTGAATAGCATAGTGGTTGATCCCCATAGAAAAACCATGGTCCTATCGCAAGATATTGCTTGTTTTCAGTGTCACGCCATTCAAAATAGAACAAAATAAAAATCAAAACCGTTCAGATAAAGTCCAGAAGTGGAACATGAAAGGAGGTAAGGGGCTTGATGTTGCACCCAATATAGTCACTCACTGGGATCGATTGAGCAGGTACGATTACGATATGGGCATCCCCTGTAACCCTAACCCTAACCCGAATCGCTAAAGTAATATGAGAAGGCGATGCCCATATCCTGACTAAGGTTTTGGAATGGGGATGTCCATATCACTGTAACACAGGGACTAGGCAAGCTCTATATCTAGCATGAATGTATTGACATTGAACTAGTGCGTGAGCCTGAAAAAGTGGCCTACAAGCAAGCTCTCCCTTCCCCCATCCCAATCCTCCAAGAACTTGTTTCCAGGCTGGGACAAACCGATTTGAAAGGAATAGGACTTGACCTACCACTGATTGTTGCCGTAAAATAAATAGCAATGATTAAATGAGTATTTTCTGAAGAATTATAGAGATCGAGGAGTCGGGCTGTTAAAATCCTCCGAGATTTGCATAATTCTTCCGGATTATGATAGAAAAGACCAATATCCAAACCTAGGTTTATTATTTATTGAAAATTATTCTTACTTTAAAACCTCGATAGATCATTTATCTGTTCCCGGCAGTTTAGCAGATATTCATTTCTTCAAATAGCAGTTGTTAAACGTTGAACTTTATTTTTTGCTGTTCTCGCTATGCTTTTAGGCAGACGTTCGGAGATTTTTTCTCGATGAAAACGTGTGAAATTTTCCTTCATTTTCACCGGTTGTATCAAAACAAGTGAGCTATATAAACTCAACCTCGTCTAGTAGGGCTTCTTGGCTGTGGTATTTTCTGATGATAACCTGTACTATTGACGTAATTTTATCGGAAATCGCGAAGATCCTTAGTACTCTCGGAAGAAAGAAAGAGGCAGCTCCTGGCGATTCCGCTGATCCAGGTGCACGTGACATGTGACGGCATCGCGATCCATCAAGATAGGGGAGGGAGGGGTAACCAGGGAACAGGCTCCTCAGAAGGTGAAAAAAGGTAAATGGGGCGAACAAGGCAAGGAAAATAAAATCGTCGAACGAGCCCAGTCGAGTGGGCATAGTCCCACGCTTGGTTCACCTCTATCTTAGCCCTCTCCCTGTTATTCGTCTTATAGTTTTTCTTCTGCGTTTGCCCCTGCCCAGTACGGTCAGTACGGTCAGTACGGTCATGTTTTGATTGGACGCGAGGTGGAGGACTAGGAACGAGTCGAGCTGTAAACGTTGTTTTCGTTTGGAGGCCATTGGGTCCAAGGCGGGAGAAAGGGTGAGTTTCGCTTTCGCTTTGTAGATTTTGCGCAAAATTTACACCAGGAGCGGAAATGTTATTGCCATTTTAACGTGGTTATCACAAATTTGAATGTTAGAAGATGCCAAAAGACCGAGAAAGATCGCATGAAGACAAAGACCGAGAGAAAAGATCATATTCTAGGTCTTCATCATCCCGTCACCGGCGCCCTAAACATAGCAGTGGACGTCGGGAAAGCTCACGAGAGCATCGCAGGCATAGACCGTATCAACGCGAAAAAGATTCTCTGTCGTCGACGCATATTTACTTTACAGGATCGGACATAACTCCCTCCGTTTCAGTTCACACGGATCACGTAACACTCGCGTCTAACTTGAGTTCGTTAGTAAACACACAGGATGGCATGCTAGAAATCTTTGAAAATTGCTGTCAGATGTTGGAGCGATTACGCCAAGATCAGGCTACCAATTCTGCACTTTGGCGAAGCAGTTCTTCGTCTTCAAGTGACGGTTCGAGGCACCGGGGAGCTAATAAGTCTAATTTAGTTCCAGTGCCTCTAACAGCTACAAAGAAATCTAAACCGAGGTGAGGTTGTGTACGCCATTGAGCTATGTTGTGAAGGCAAACTCAACCACCCGGAAGGGAAGTTCAGATATTATATTTTACTGGTACTTTAGCAGGGTCCCAAGTCCCTATTGTCTCCAATATTATTTGGGTCTATTTTTTTTCGTTGTAAAGTTTTTATTTTATGGGCAGAGAAATATTCAAAGTCTTTTAGAGATGGTTATGGAAGTTCTATACCATTGCCTTTTGGTGTGGATTGGTGACTGCTAAGCATTGGATTGTGGAACAGAGATGCTGTTTAGATTTGTATAGCAAGATAACTTTTACCAAGTTTCCTGTTGTTGTTGTTGTTGTTGTTGTTTTTTGCACGGTCAAATCGACTTTCTTGAATCCTCCCAATACAACTGTATATTCAGCCAGTGCTATCTACTGTATGCAAGCAGCTCTCACAATTTGCTGCTCCGGGCTGCTTCTTACTGGTCTGAGTTTATGATTTGTTGGAGGATGACTTGCCTGGATCCTTAAACCCTAAAATCAAAATTTGAATTCTCATATGTTGCCCCTATTCATTTCCTAAAGAAGTACTGCGGAGAAGTTGATAACCATCAAACAATTCATGTTGTGTGATCATGTCCGTAATTCTCATGACCACTCTGTTTTACAAAGCATTGATATTACAAGGAGAAATCTGATGCTGATAACTCTTAGAAAATGTACTTGTCCCAGACTACCAGAGGGGACCTTTCTCGAGCCCTAGGGAAAGATGAATATGAATGAAAATATGAAAATTAATATTTCTCTATTTCATCTATGAAATTCATTTATTCATCATTTCAAAGTGACTATATAAGACAGACAATAAAATTTATTTAATGAACCTGTCATGTGGATCAACTAAACAAAATGTATTTTGTTATATTATTTCTTTTGTCTTGATGCAGTTTTAGCCAGATAATGGAGCTACGCAAAGTAACAGATCTTGTTCCGGCTGCACAGACCAAACAACAGCTGCATCAAAAATTGTTGTCCCATTCTGAAGCGAAACTTGAATCCATTGACATTTCCTTGTTCTGCCCCCTCACTCATTCACGAATCGTAACCCCAGTGAGAGGAAAGAAATGCAGACATGTTCACTGTTTTGACGGCGAGGCCTTTTGCAATTTGATGTGGGAGAAAGACGTTGCAAAGTGGAAGTGCCCAGTAAGTAGTACGTACCAAAACAATCCTCACGGGATTCAAGTAGTACCCACCAAAACATTAGGGAGTTTAAGATACCATGATGGTGACGGCTATGAAAATGTCACTTAAAAAGTGAATTAATTGCGTTCTTTGAATCTCATTGTGATTTCTCCAACTCATTAACTTTGTCAAATGCAAAGCGAACTTTTTTTTAGCCGAATTCCTAAGAACCATAATCAAGTTCAGAAAGAGAAAGAAAATTTAGCCGTTGCTTGTTTAGGTCCTCCATAAAGCGTGACATTAGGCATTTTTCCGTCGTAGTCGTGCAGTGATGGCAAAGAAATGTACAAAAAAGTCTGTTGCACATGCAGAGTTGTTGTTTTCCTTATTCAACCATTTTGCTTTTTTGACGTTCTCGTTGTCAGCGTCGTGGCTTCTTAAAGTCCCTATAAATGGACTGTGTGATACAGACGGAAGCTACAAGACTAAAATCTGAGACTTTGAGACTAGAATTTATTTCTTCATAAATGGATAGATTTTAAGGAAATTGAATAGCTGTAATTGTGAGGAAGTAGACTGTGATGAGTCATTATTTTTACGTTAGGTGTCAGTTGCAGTTCAATAGGTCAGATATTGCTATCCACCAGGTCCTGGTTGTTCAACACTGGGTAGCGCTATCCACCAAATAAATCACTATTGGGCGGATAAGTATTAGGGAAGCCAATTGCATTATCCACTCAATTAGAGATTTATCCAGTGAATAGCTTCATCTACCTTTTGAACAACTGGGGCCAGACCCACCCAAGTGTGAAAGTTCAAGCAATTTCACAGTAACTTGTTCGGGTAGAACTGTTATTCTGTCAAGAGAGAGTCTCTTTAGTAAGAAAACTGGACTGAGAGTTTCTGTTTGATTTTTGTTTTGGTTTGTTTTTTTTTTGTCACATTACAAAAAATATAAAATGATTTCATTTGATTTAAGTTTTCATTTCAGATATTCATTTTCCCGGAAAGGGAATGTGAGGTTTACTTACTGTTCAAATTCTTGCTAATTAAGTGTTGCGATGATCACTTATATTTGGACAAGAAAGCTTAGAAAGTTACTTGTACAGTAACAAAAAATCCTTTTAATGACTGGATGGGGCTTTTTTAAGCTCTGAAACAAATCTTTGGGTTTTCTATATTACACCAAGTTTAAAACTAAGCATTTTATAAATCTGCAGATTTGTAAAGGTCCAACGCCACTGGCTGAGTTGATTGTGGATGGATTAATTCTCGACATCCTAGCATCAGTTCCAGAGGACGTGAAAAGTGTGGAGTTCACATCTGATGGATTCTGGAGATTGAAGCAAGGAGCTTCACTACCCTCTGCAAACACATCTTCAATCAGCTTGAACTATAAACAAGGAAATAATGAGGTCATTGACCTTACCTTTGACACCCCAGAGAAAGTAATTATCAAGAAAAATACTTTAGTCAGCAATACCACTCCCCCTGTTATTGATCTGACTTTGTCTCCTTGAGATATAGTCAGATCAGTCAAATACTTGCTAGTGCTTTGTAAGTGACCGGTACAATGAGCCACTGTCATTAGTGTGTGTTTCAGTAAAACACCTAGCCTGTGAACAGGCCTTCTAGCCTTGCATGGATAGAACCTGGATAGTGCTAACCAGTGTGTAAGCATTAGAGAAAGCTGTTTTGTTGTCCACTGGATAGTGGTTTGTCAAGTGGATAGTACTATCTGCGTTGTAAACAACTTGTTGGAATAAGAAGGAAAAGTAATTTGAAGGGGTGTAATCACTTTTTGCCCTATCCCTCAGTGGTAGGGGTACCTATTCACAGGCTAAAAGCACCATAAAAATGCCTACAACACGGACTAAGGAGAGAAGGGAACTGCTTACTGAAGCAATTGACCTATGTTACAGGTAACCGAACAGGAGGCATGGTCAGGAATTAGGAATAAAAAGCAACTATCCCCTGAAGGGGAGTATGAACCAACCCTGAGAGGGCTAGTTGTTTTAGTATTTACCAAATCAGTTGGATAAAAATCAAAAAGGAACTTTTTGTAAACAGAAGATGTCACTTTGTTAGAGTTTGTTTATGTTTCAATTGACAGTGTTTTGGGATCATTTTTTAATGATTTTTTTGCAAATTCAGATTTTGGAAAATTTTTTTCTACCGACCAGTAAACACCAACAAGCCAAATTTTGTCTCTTTATTGGTATTTGTTGGCACAGCTGCTTCATTTACCGCTAAAATTTCAAACACCAACAAGCCAAATTTTGTCTCTTTATTGGTATTTGTTGGCACAGCTGCTTCATTTACCGCTAAAATTTCATCTTTCAAAACTGTCGCGAAACGAGAGGCCATTCTGAATCCCATCCCATAACAGTGAATATCCAAGGATATTCCGAATTGCAGAAGCCAATTAGAACACGCAAAAATTGCTATTCACTGATTTGGTGACTACTAAGATGTAATATAATCCCGCTTTCTATTCATCCTTTTTCTTCTTTTGTGGTCTTGACTTCTAAAACTGTTCACCTATGCTGGAATCTAACGGAGGGTTACTTGTAAGCCCTCTGCAGCTTAGGGTCATGTGACCTTTATCTTATGCCTAAATTAGGGGATACAATCCTAAATATACCAGAGATTGAAAGAGAGCAAAATAATTTTGGGGGTCTGTGGGTAAAATATCTTAACAGTCTGATTTTATGGATTGAGCAACTAAGAAAGTGACATACATGTACACATCAATGGAAAACGTTACTGCACCACACACCTTGTGTTCCAACAATTATTTTCCTTGCAAACCCTTTCTTAAGCCTCATACTTTTTCCATGAAGCAGGTCATGTGACCCTGAACTGATGGGCTTGTTTACTAAAACAAAATGCTCACATTGTAGGTTAAATTTATAACAAATTTAATGACTAAGAAAAGTGTTTTGTTCAGTAAGTGTTATAAGTTATGATGATACTTGGTTGTTTTTCCTCACAATGTGCTCATCAGTGGCACAGCTTCAGTGTGTTAAAATTTGTGCAAAAGATGTGCAAGGTGTGACACACCCAAGAAGGTTGTTTAGGCAAATAAAAATACAAGTCAAGCCAAAGTATACTCCAACTAAATATCAGTTGAAATATCTTCTATTTCTGTTTTCCCTTTCTTCCTCAACAGATGGCAAAGTGAAAATTCACCGAAAAATTTCAAATTCCTGTTTGAAAAATCTTAAGAAATAAATAGTTGTAAGCGAAATTTTTACCCAAGGCGTTTCATTTGAATGGTAACACCATAGGATGTTGTCCACAGATTCAGAAGTCAGAAGTACACACTGACTAGCAGCTACATGTGAAGGTACTACTGAAGAGGTTTGATATGATTGGTCAGTCTATAGGATTTCATCCACAGACTCAATAAGAACTACATGTGAAATAAGTAAGAACTACATGTGAAAGTGCAGAGAAAGCAGAACACTTTTTCATGTGGGGGAAGAGGAATATCTGACTAGTGACTTCAAGTGGTGGTGGTGGTGGGGGGGGGGGGGGGGGTGGGTAGGATGCAGACTCCTCGTAGTCTTTATTTTTTTTGCAAAAAGTGGCGGGCTTAGTGTCCCCCAAGTTCACTGCTGCTGTGTGGAATTGTGAATGAATAGTTGTATTTAACATTTCATATTTTTTGGTAGGAAGAAAACAAATAGATCTATGTACAGGGAATAATAATAAATTGTTTTGTTATAATATTCCGGACTGCCATTGGTTGATTTTTGGCCGCGTGGCCTTGACTAAATTCAATCCCGCGGCCGATCATCATGCAATCCGTTCGGGCTACAACAGCAAGAGAAGACACTTTTTTTCCAGTTCAGACCACGTGATGTTCTCCAAGGAATTGTCCTTTTGTCCTATAGCCAAGCTCCACGCACGCGAGCGTAGCCCCATATCTAAGAAAATGTGGTAATCTACCCATCCGATAAATGTTTGGTAATCTCGTGACTGTACACCCGACTGACCGACCGTTCGTCCGCACCACAGGCATACCAATGTAAAATAACTCAATAAACAGGTATGGCAACCCAAATGCAACTCGAGGTTATTTTGGCGGGAAATCGCATAGCCACCCGCGTCTTGTGAAGCAGAGACAACTAAAGAGTCAATAAAGACGAAAGCGGAAATTGTTTCTGTATCCGTGTTGTCTAAAGTGTTAAGCATAGATTAATTGTCATGTTCACAGATTTGGAATATAGAGAAAGAGAAAGACAGAGAAAACGAGAAAGGAGGTGACAGGCCAGCAAAGCTCAACGAGAAAAAGAGCGACAGAGAGCTACAGCGAGAGATAAAAAAACAAAGAAGACATTTTTTGCTGGAAGAACAACATGAAAAATTTGTAGCGGCGATGAGAAAATGAGAAATGCTAGCAGGCACCAAGTTGAAAATGAGCGTACGACATTTCCTCCAGAAAACGTGTAACCCAAAAGTTTCTTGAAGTTTCACGTTGTAGTCGTGCAAAACAACGACAAAGAAATTTACAGAAAAACGTGTGCTGCACCCCTGCTCCACGTGCAAAGTTGCTTTTTTGCTAATTGAACCTATTGTTTTTTTTTTTCACCGTTCTCGTTGCCTTCGCCGCTTAGCATTACACGATTTTCAACGGATTTTATATTTTGTTTGAGCAAACTATAACTATTATCGTGAGCTTCGCTTTCAGCCCCGGCTAAATCAATATATTATTATTTGCAGACATATGCACTTGGATGCACGGGTATAGGACGACATTTGAAAGAAGCAGGTCTCTGATCTTGAGGTACCGTCACTTGGTCTGAAATGGGACAGCAAAACATACAAGCTAAAAAGGTCTAGTAAATGGTGGAAAGTAAAAGTCTAGGAATACTGTAAACTGCCTTCCCCCAGTTATATGCCCTTCTATCTTTAACCAAAGAATTACAACCGGCGATGACAAGCCCCCACCCGGCAGTGCATTGAAATGAATTTGATGACGCCTTGAAGCTTAAAACACAATAGTAAATGCAAAACGTAAGTGAACTGCTAAAGCTCTTTTCCGGTTATACTGAGCACCCCTGGATATGAGCCCCTCCGTTTATAAGCTTTGGGATTATAAGGGGCACTTTACGGTATACAATAAGACACTTTCTAAATGTTAGAACATCATGATCAGGACTCACAGAAAGACAGAACTGTTGTTTCCCTTGGCACCTGACATTAAGTGTATAACCTCAAAGGTTTATAAAACATTAGGAAATTGTTAATATTTTCACAGTGAGTTACAAAAATTACCTCCTCGTATGCTTTCTTGAATACATTTTCCTCGGTCGCTCTGCACGATTTCACAATACAAACAGTTTTTTTTTCTTGTTTTTTCTTTCTTCTGTACTCCTTAAAACGTAGATTACATCAAATCCAGCAATATGTTTTAGGTAATCTTACATTTGTTCCGTTCAATTTTAGTCAGAAATCCGGCTGTTATCCGGCTATTAACTGGTCGAAATTAGAAAATTCAAATTTCAGCTTAATAAAGCAGCGTAGAGGATTATTTTTTTTTGCTTCATTAAAACAATTAACTTGTATACATTGTTGTCACCACTTGAACATTTTCGTTAACCTTAAACCGTCTTAAAACGTTTGGAATTAATAGCATTTTAATGACGAGGGACCGAGCATGCCAAACGCCGGGAAAAATGGAGCATTACCGCCCTGATTATGGTGGAGCATTTTAGTGGGGAAACAAAAGCATAATGTACAAAAGCCTACTGAAGAGTTGGCTGGGGGATTTGAGCCAATCAGAAACGAACGTGCCGGAATGAATCGTAATTTCTAATATTTTTCTGGTGGAAATTTTAACATCAAACCGTATACAAGACCAAGAAGGGATAAAAGGTCTTAAAATTGTGAAGGGTAGAAGTTTTCTTTCTTTCACTGATGCATCTATAGGTATACTTCAGTGGTCTTTAATGGCATTGCATTTTGTTTCATTGAGGAGCCGAACTGAAAACAAAGTGAAACCCAATCTCAAAGCTCATAAAGTAGAACGGATGCATCGCTCTAATGCCGTTAATCGTAGCTTAATACTGAACTATAATAACATTGCCAATAGAAAAACTTGTATCAAACAAAGGACCAGGAAGGAGAGTACTTAACTAAAACTGTCAGAAATCATTTAAAAACCAGGTGCCACTTGATTTAACATCATAAGGTTTACGACTTCTCAGCTCCCTGTTGACGGTATAACGGCAGCACACAAAAAAAATGGAAAGCCATAACTCTGCTCCCCTTTACGTAAGTTCTGTCATAACCGTTGTCTTTAACAGCATAACCTGCCCGTTAACATTTCTGCTTAACGTGCTTGTGATTATGGCTGTAAAGAAAACATCAAGACTTCAGACGAAAACCAACATGTTGCTGGCCTGTTTAGCAGTGACTGACGCAAGTACTGGTCTGTTGACACAACCTTTGTTCATTGTGTGGAAAGCGTTTTATTTACTCGAGGTACCAGACGAAGACGCTGTTGGAACTTTTTACTTCTCTGTTTCACGTGGTTTGACTATCTGTTCAGCACTTCATCTGATGTTGGTGACTTGCGAGAGACTGATAGCCATCCGATTTACTTATCATCACCCTCATCTTGTCACAGGGCGAAATATTAAGGTTGCAGTCATCGTATTTTGGCTTATTTCTATTTCTAATATAATAGGCGGACGGCAAGATTTTATCTTCGAGGCTATAAGATCGCTTTTGAACTTTTCAGCCGTTCTTATTGTCGTTTTTTGCGTTCTTTTCATTGTCTTTGCCTACGCAATTTTGTACCGTGAAGTACGTCGACAGCGAAAAAATATAAAAAATCAACAGCTACCACAAGAAGAGCAACAAAGAATTGCTAAAGAAAACAAAGCGCTTAAGACAACTGTGTTGGTAGTGGGTGCCGTTCTCGTATGTTATGTACCTGTCATCTTGACAGTCTTGGTATTTTATTTGTTTGGACTTGACAGTGGATCATGCGTGTATTGTCCATGGGTTAGTACCTTTATAATGTTCAACTCATTTATCAACCCACTGATTTACTGTTGGAGACAGAAAGAGATGAGGCAATATGTCCTTAGCTATAGATTTTCCTGTACCACGGTTGTTGAACCCTTAGCTAATGCTTAAGGATCTGGAGAATGCTGGTCAGTTTCCACCACTCGCACTGATTAACTTTGACTCACTCACTTAGCTAGCCAGTTGTACTTTACAATGTGTTAATCATCGGGTAGAATATAGTAAAGAGTAAAACTCTTTATTTCTCAAAATTGCGTTGCCTTTTTTTATTTGGTATATAAAAAAAATGCATGCAAACAACTCCATAGTTAAACCAAGGCATTGTAATTTACAGTAAGTTAGTGTCCGCTTGAGGCCGGGTGGCTTGTTGACTGCTTCGTTTCGAGCAGATCTTTCTACATTTTCTGGAAACCGAACGAATGACTCTGAGCTCAGAATTTTAAAGGTATTTTCAAGCATCACAAAAATGATGTTTATGCTGGTTTAATTTTTTGCCCCTATCCCCCGTGAGGTTGAACCTGTTTTTCTTCGATGAACATGCATTTGGTTCGTGATTGGTTCATTTAAACTCCATTTTCATGAAACAAAACCACATGTTGTCTTATTTTCTCAGGTTTTTTTTTTAGAGATTTTTACTATTTTCAGTCCCCATATTAAAAATTCGTACGTCTATTTGACGCAGGTCAGCTTTCGGCAGCGTTCGACGCTGATATTTGTTCTCTTTAGCTTGATCCCGATCTTCAGACTGCTTAGCTCAAGTCTTTCTCTTCATAAATCAAAATGGTGTATGGGACAGCGTGTCTAACATCTTTCAGCAACATGCCAGGCCAGATAACTATCGGGTTGTCTTCTCAGTGCCAAAATGCATGAGGGCCTTTTTTGAGGGTACCCTGCTTGGCAGGTGCTGGCTAGTTCTGGGGTTTTAATAGGCCATTTCCGAGTTGCCTCAACTGACCTGCTTCAAAGCGAGGCTAAGTGCGAAACCATTGTGAAAATGATTTTTAGTCTTATGCAAATAAAACTCATTTTCACAGAAATGTTTGGCACTTTGCCTCGTTTTGAAATTGAGAGTTTCACCAGCCTTCGTAACTGTCGGGATAAGCTGGCAAGTACCCCAAGCACATCAATCCCGCCAGCTACGTAGGCTAATGGAACACGAAAAGGCCTATTAGCTTTTATAGAGTGCACGAGAAGAACACGTGGCGCGCGCGTCCTCGAAATATCTCCTTCTGCCAGAAAAACAAACAAACAAACCAAAACAAAACAAAACAGCAAAAAAACCTGTGCCCGCTATCTAATTTTGGTCTCCTTGTACGTTCAACCATTATTCATCCGAGGAGATCGTGGCAAATGTTTAATACAGTTGAAACCCATTTTCTGAACTGACTACGGGGTGAAAGCTTCTCAGATACGAAAATGATTGAGTGTTATCAAGTATGATCCTAACTGAGGAGGTACGAATATAAATGGAGTAATAATCACCCGACTTATCCCCCCTTTTTGGGGAAATGAAGAGAAGAAATAGGCGCGAATTTCTTTTTGCGCGTGCTCACCGGCACATGCACTGGTCTTTTTTCCCACGGAAACAGAATTATTTTCATTTTTTTAAGCATGTTAAAATATTACCCGTGCATACAACTTTTCAAAAGCCACTGAAATGTCAACTTCCCACTTATTTCAGCTGTACTGTGGTTAAGAAGAGTTTTTTGTTCTTTTCTTTCCCTAAGAGCCTGCGCATTCGAAGCAGTCTTCCTCTTCTCGTTGTCTTTTCAGCGAGCGGCTAAAAGTCGACAATCAAAAATTAGCATGGTTATACATTTAACATATAGCCGAAATAATAAAAACCACACCAACAGGCAATTCTAGGCCAGGCAGCCTAAATTGACTTCAATAAAGGGTTAGGGGTCAGGAAGAGAGTCACTTTTGTGGCGTGTTTTCAAAAATTCCGCGCAATTAACATATTTGATTTGTCAAACGTTTTTCAAAACATAACCTTTGCCATTTTTGCAAAATAAGCATGTAAAGTACCTGAGATGTTAACTGTTTCCGAATTTTATATAATTCTCTCATGTTCAGCATTGGCAACGTCTTTGCGCGCTATTATTATTCATTCAAAATATTTCGCCGTTTCTGATTGGCTCCAATCCTCCGACTTATTCGTCATAACCAACTATAGCTTTTACTATATTTGGAAGATGCAAGCAATATACCATGATCGGTTCTATGGTACAATTGATTGGAAAAGGGGCTGCTTGGGCAATAGTGAACTAAAAAATTGCGTTCACAGCATATAGCTCGATGAATGTTATCCACATTTTAAGGAGTATCTGCAATACAAAACAGTCCGTTTATATTCTGAAACCGTGCCGACAAATAAGCCAAAGTTTTGAAGAATATTTAAGAGGAGGGAAGCACGTTACGAAATTAGAAATATTTTGATTGAATAATAAAACCATTATTGAATTATATTCGGCTTTTGGTAATGATGTGGAGAATTATGCTGATCTCTGAGGATGTTATCCACCTCGGCCTTCAGCCTCGATGGATAACATCCTGCTCGACCTTCATTGTTCTTCACATCCCACTCAGCCTCATTCAGTAATTGTTAATTATTTTCATGGTAGAAATTTAATAAAGATCACTCAAGAAAGCGTATACAAATCCAAGAAAGACTCAGTTAAGAAGACGTCAACTCGCACTTGAGGGAAACAAATTTAAACCCAATTTTGTAAATTTATAAACTTAAATCCATGCATTCCGAGTAATTTAGTCTTAGTTGAGCAAAGGATCAGCCAGGAAATCACTTTAATTCATAAGGAAATAAATCAGAAAATCTTTTCACAATAAGTTAAAAAATAATTCTGCCTTTCTTTCTGTATATTAAAGCACTGATTTGAAATATTAACTTTTAACGAAGTTTACATACATTTCCTTCATCTTCAACATTGGCAACGTCACCTGCTACTGATTTTCATGGTGGAAATTTAAAGTTCTTTCAACAACGCGTTTACAAGGCCAAGAGAGTGAAAAAAGACTCAATTACGTACGAAGACGTCAACTCATGCGGAAGAAAAACTGTCTCGCTCCTTCACTAATGCATTTATATAAGTGGCTTCAGAAGCTCACTTCCTTAATGCCATTGTTTCTTTACGGAGCCGCAATCACCTAAACTCAGTTTTAAAAAGCATAAAGTGATACATTGTCCGAGCATAATAACACAGCCAATAGAAAAAATAGTTTAATTGAAGGATCAGGAAACTGAGAAACTGTCAGGAATTACTTTAAAAAACAGGTGCTTGTTGCATCATAAGGTTTTCGACTTCCAAGTTCTAAGTTGACGGTAAACGGCAACAAAAAAAGGAAAAGAAAGAGACAGAAAAAATGGAAAACCATGACTCTGTTTCTCTCTATGTAAGTTCTGTCATAACTGTTGTTTTTAACAGCATAACCTGCCCGTTAACATTTCTGCTTAACGTGCTTGTGATTATGGCTGTAAAGCGAACATCAAGACTTCAGACGAAAGCCAACACGCTGCTGGCCTGTTTAGCAGTGACTGACGCATGTACTGGTCTCTTGACACAACCTTTGTTCATTGTGTGGAAAGCGTTTTATTTACTCGAGGTACCAGACGAAGACGCTGTTGGAATTGCTCATCTCTGTGTTTTACGTGGTTTGACTATTTGTTCAGCGCTTCATCTGATGTTGGTGACTTACGAGAGACTGATAGCCATCAGATTCACTTATCATCACCCTCATCTTGTCACAGGGCGAAATATTAAGGTGGTAGTTATCGTATTTTGGCTCATTTCTATTCCTAATATGGTAGTCGGACACAAAGATTTTAACATCTTTGCGACACTTCGATCGGTTTTGAACTTTTTAGCAGTTCTTATTGTCGTTTCGTGCGTTTTTTTCGTTGTGTTTGCATACGTTATTTTGTACCGTGAAGTTCATCGGCAGCGAAAAAATATAAAAAATCAACAGCTACCACAGGAAGAGCAACAAAGAATTGCTAAAGAAAACAAAGCGCTTAAGACAACTGTGTTAGTAGTGGGTGCTGTTCTTTTATGTTATGTACCTGTTATCTTGACAGTCTTGGTATTTTATTTGTTTGGACTTGACAATGGATCATGTGTTTATTGTCCATGGGTTAATACCTTTATAATGTTCAACTCATTTGTCAACCCACTTATTTACTGTTGGAGGCAGAAAGAGATGAGACAATATGTTCTTAGATTTTCTTGCACTTCAGTTGTGGAACCCCAGCCTAGTCCCTAGGTGTTCACGGCTCGGTCAATCCTGCTACAGTGAGCTGTGACGTCACCGAGAAACACTCGTCGAGAACCAGCCTCGTTCCCAGAGCTCTCTGAGAGAACGGTTCGTTCTCGCGTGAGGAAGAGAGAGAACCCTGGGAACGAGTTTGGCCAAGAACTTGCCCACCCTTTCCCACCCTATTCTAGACTTCGTCCGGACAACGAGGAAAAAGAGAACACCTTAGGCTAGACTTGCCACCCTTAGTTAATAAAGCTAGTGCTTAAGGGAAAGGATGCGGAACTTAAATACGAGAATCAAGTGCTGGTCAATTTCCACCACACGCACAGAACTGTGACTCATTCTCTTAGTTAGGAAACTATACTCAACAATCAACAATCAAGGGTAAAATTCTTTATTTCTTAAAATTGCGTTGCTTGTTTTGGTATAAAAAATCAAAACAACCCCACAGTTGCTGGAAGTTCAGTTTGTATCGGACTGTATGGGTGGTACACTGTTCTCAATATTATCTCGGCCTTCCTATGGCTTTTTCAAATTGAGCTAAATGTTGGGAAACGCCACTCCCGCCCAATTCCACTCTTTCCGCCTTTTTTGCCAGGTATTTTCTTGTCGGGAAAATCCTCACTACTCTAGCGGACCTATGCGCTTTCCTTAAAGCTGTGATTGCAAGCTACATCAATCTTAGAGAAAATGGACGAAAAATTAAGACCTTCTGCCACCCCACACCCTACCCCCACACCCTAAAAAACTCAGGGATGGGAAACTGGCGCGTGTTGGCCTTTGTGCGATTAATGCTTCATTTCGAGGAGAAGGGGAAATTACTTTTTCATTTTTTCGGTCCCAGACAAATAGATGGAAAATTACGGACACCCTTAGCCCCCAAAGAAAAAAAATAATCGAAAGAAAAAATGAAAAAAAAACATAGGAAAATAGCGCGTTTAAGACTTGGTGCACTTTTACTTCAACCTTGACTTCGGGAGATGATTTTGTCCAAGATTGTCGCTTATAATATAATTACATCTAGGCGTCAATCAGGTGCTTGCGGCAGAAAATCAGGATTCGAACGCGTGCGCCTCGAGTCAGAGAGGTAGCTGGCTGCAATCAAAGATATTGTTAGGTGCCAAGAGAACATAATTATGTTCTCTATAAAACGCTTGACTAATATTCATCTTGAAACAACATCATATAGATCTGAGGTTTTAATCTATTAATATTGCAGTCAAAAATAGCTCACCAAAGAAAAAGATGCTGAGTCGTTTAGGGAATATTCATTTAGTTTAAGTAGTAGTCACGTGGCTGTCCAAAACTCCTGAGAATACCGTTTTTAGCCTTATGTTTTAAAGTTTAGTTTTATGAAGTGATGATGACGATGATGATGTGATACAGTGTGTTTATATGTATTAAAGAGCATAAAGAGACAAACAAGAACAATAAACGAGCACTCAAGTTACAACACTTCATAAAGCTAAGTATTTAGCTGATATTAAAGGTTAGTGGTCAAATTTAAATAGAAATAAGTTTTTGTCGTTGCTATTTTTGTTGTTGAAGAAATACAGGGTTTTAGACTGCGCCCATTAGTTACAGAATTATCATCCCTTAATTGACTTTTATTTTGAACATATTCGTGAACACTTGATCGCCTTCAAGGAAGTGACTATATTTAAAGTGGCAGCTCCATCAACACTAATAATTTCTTTAAGGTGAAAGTCAAGACTATATGCGCCAAGATTCACTTAGTAATTAATGTCATCCTAGAGTCAGTTATTACATTAGTTCTAACATAATTGCTTGCCTAATATCGCTAACACACAACAGGCAAACCGGCGATTTACGACTTGCGGGGGGGAATTCCCTTACATATGTTCGGTAAAGACTATGGTCTTTGACCTCTTTCGGTTGGCCTGAATTGAGTATAAAGAAAAAGCCACCCACCCCGACTTAAATTTTCCAGAAGTTCCCCCAGAGTACCTGCAAACGCTCACCTTGGATTGCGTGCCTCGTCATATTTAAAGTCTTAATCAGCGGTTTACCTCTCTCAGAAAAAGGAGAGGCCTACAATTGACAATGTGTCATCTTACAACAGGACACTTTGATGGTTTTATAATCCTTTCCTGTGATTGATATTTTTGTGGATTTCCTAAGAGAGGTCGGACAATACAATAAAAAGGAAGTGTAAATTATCTAAAAGTGCCTATGCGTGATTATTTATGACAAACAGGCTGATCTAGATTATTGGCAGATTTCCTTATTATGAATAAATGACCTTTCTTTTTTATGATGGAAAGAAGGGTGGAGTAGTATGTTTACAGCACTCACCTTTTTCGATTGTATGATGGCTAGGGTTCAGGTTCCTATGGCAGCCGTTGAGTTTGTCGTTGGTTATCATGATCTTGTCCTTTCCCTCGTTGGTTGGTCTCCATATATCACAGAACTCGTCTACCCTGAATTAGTTTGCGAGCAACATTCCGCCTCCTAGAGCTTGCTCCCATGCCACAGGGTGGCAGGCGTTGATTTCGCGCGCCTATTATCCTCAGTAGCAACGCCCACTACGCAGGTTAAGCTGGCTACACCCTAGAACAGGTGTTTTGTGGGGAAACAATGTACATTTTTACGTATAAACATTTTTATTGAAAATTACGCTATTTTTTTTTAGAAAACTGAATACTAGTATGACTTTAGATTAAGTACTTTCAGTTTAAATTTTATATACTCATACTCAATGATATAATTTAATCGAATGTTTGAACAGTAATAAACACCGGCATCTGTACCGTGAGAGAAACATCTTTGTTTTTTCATCCGCGACATGCAGGATATTATTTCACAGGCTTTTACGATTCATCGACGCCTCTCCGTTTTAACACTGTCGTATTACGATTCAAGATAGGATAACCTCATTCTCTCTTGGAGTAGAACATTGTTTGTCACGATTTCTTTGAAATGTTGTCGCCTTTGCATGTTCTGTCTATAACGTTTAGCATAAGAAGCTGACATCACAATTAATCGGATACATGGGTCGCTGGTGGTTTTACTATCTGTACCAGAATTTGAGTTTTCGTGACTGCGAAAAGTTCCTATCGTTTTATTGTTTGACCCACCCAAAAATGATTTGGTGTTAATAATAAATACACATAGTCAAAAATAGAAACTAATTTTGAACACCTTGCTAAAATATTACCTCATTAAAAATAAACTTAGGGGCTGCTCACATCTCAGATGACCATAAGCACACCTGGGCTTGAATCTTTGTGATTTTCACTTTAGTCACTCAGTTGTCTCACTTCTCCCCTTTCAAAAAAGAACACAAGGAGGAGAAATTACAGCCTGGCGATTATTTTACTGATAATCCATATCTCCCTTTCCAGGGGGAGGGGGAGGGGACATCCCTCGCAATGAAAGGGAAAATAACTGAAAAAACTAAACGAAAAGGGGAAAAAAGAAAGAAAAGAAGAGAAAAAAAAATAGTTCTGTATATACCTAAAATCGAACCCAGGACCTCCTACACGACAGGGCATTTCGTTACCACTACGCCAAGTGGGAACATACTGTGAAACAGAAATTCCGCCAGCTCATCCTATTTAGAGCTGATCGAACCCTGTTAAATATGAATTCAAAGATATTTTTCAGGAGAATGACTGGTGTTTTGACGGTAAAAAACTCAACTTAAAAGTATTTCATCAGGCCGATACGGTATAAACTCGTCTGTAAGCAAACCTTGTGTTTTGTTACCTCGACTTTCGCTCATATCTTAAGGCTAATGATCCAAATTGCTTCCATTTGCTCTTAAAAGTACTTTTGCCTGCAAAAAGCACTATCCACTCCTAAAACGGCCACTAAAAAAAAACAATAGAAAATGACCAAAGCAAGACACTCTTCGTAAAGCAATCCTATTGGTTGTCTGGAAACCGACAATGCACCTTGACGTCAACAACGAAACTCGATAGACTTAAAGCAATGAAACGATCACCCTTAGCTTGCGACCCTCGTGGGAGCCACGAGCGTTGCAAATTCCGACAAAATGATAAACTCCCCTTGGCGAGGTGAAATGCAGCTAAACTTTGACGAAAAAAATGTGGAACTTTTCATGACATTAAGCCCCTTGAAGCTGTTTTGTGAGTTGGTTTAGTTTAAATCAGGGAATACACCTACGAATTCTTCTCAGAATCACGGAAATGCCTATCAGTTTCAGGGAGGCTGGTACTGCGCAAGCTCAGGCTGGAAAGTGCTTCTCAGTCGCGTTCATCTGAATCTGACCAGACTGAAAAATTAGAATTTAACCGATGATCTTCTCAAAGATTAAATTCTAATAGTTACACCGCTAAAAATATATAAATAAATAAGTACATAATAATTAGACAAAATATATAGTTCCTTGCCTTGAGTAGCATATCAAAAAGTCCTGCTCAATGGTTGTCAATGTTCAATTATTAAAAAAACGACCATTGCTTGCAAAACACTAAAAAGTACCGCTAAGTGGTTTTAACTTCACTAATCACATTAAATTGAATTCAAACAAAGAACTCTAAATTTCTTAATTCAATGCGTCTAAGAGGCACAGTTCTTACGAGTACATGAGATGTTTCCCTCTGTTCCCGTTAATATTTGTTACTGCCAGTCTTGGAGTACGATCTTGGAATCCTAACTTTAATAACGAGGAAGGAGATTAAAATCGTGCAAACACCGGCAATTTTGGTTTAAAAAGTTACAGTTTCTTAATCTTGTTTTAGAATTAATAGTTTTACATTCCCTAATCAAGTTATATTAAATTTTAAATGGAAAACCCTGAAATACGTTAAGCACGCTGTCGGCTAGAGTAAAAAACCAAGCCTGTCCCGATATGACAGATATGAATCACTTCAGTTTGATAGATAAATGAGGCATAGCTAGTTGGAATAATGAAAGAGTCCATGGGCTTGTACCCCTAAAACTTACGTATTACATAAGTCAAAAGAGTGGGCAAAGCTGTTCTCCGGCAAACTTTTTTGGGCAAGCGTTACCGGTTGGACCGGTTGCGAAATGATCATTTTCTCTGTCTGGAGGTGTTAATCCTCTCCGAAGTAACACTTTGCAGCTCACCGGAAGAGCAGAACGTGCGGCCCACTTACTTACAAGCAATATACTGCGCACTATAATAGGTAACTCAAGTACCTTGGAACGAATATAAATGCCATGCCTTGCTCTGCAGATGCCATGCTAGGAAGCGTTCATTGACCTTTAGCTCCACTTCCATTGGATACTACTTGAGCTACATATACAGTATTACTGAATGAGATTCTCTTCTATAGAAAACCAGCCTGTTCAAGGTCATTCTGAATGGTTGTTGGCTATCGTGCGGGGGTATACTCCCGCACGTAAATTTAGGATTTACGTGGTATGTCTCCCGAAGTTTTTATTTCAGTTGAAGGGAAGCTGGATTTAAAATTAGGTCTCGAAACGACGGATAAATGGCACTCTAGGCGAAAACCAATTGCGCGAAATTGTTTGAAAAGGATTTTCAGTATTTCAGTTCTCTCTCGAGCTGTCTCTTGAGACACATTTATTATAAATTGCGTAGACAGTAGAATAGTCCATCAATCGTTCAATCGTTTTGGTGCGTGTGTTAGTTTTTTTTTAGCAGTGTTCAGTTAGGTCTTGTGAATTAATGTACACTATCAAGGGCGCAATAACTTTAAGGACGTGTGTCGAAGAACATGCTACATTTCGGTGTCACGTACCTAAAAATGGGGGATCCCCTCCGGGTTCGCTATACACTTCATAGCGTCAGGAGCCGATAGTAACAGTAGTAATAGCGTGTGATTTTGTTGACCTTTTGGTAGGCATTATGACCACTGGAGTCTAGCAGACTACTAAGACTCGGGATTAACGTTTTAAGAAGATTCGGCTCATTATCTCTCTTGCGCACTGTTTTGCTATGAAAAATGATGACCCGGCTCTTCTTACCACAATTCATTCGACATCATGGGCGTGAGAGAATGTCCTGAACTTAACAAAAGACGATGTTTGAAAGAAGAAAAACAACGTTTATGAAACTGAACTGTATCAAAATCTTTATTTGTCATTCTTTTTGTATATAGGATTATTTTAATCTTCTTAAAACTACTTACAACGTTGAGTTTTCACTGAAAACACATCGTGCTGGTTTGCACATGATATCATTTCAAGCATGAAATATCTTTCTATTATATGATACTGCTCCAACCACAAATTCAAAGTGCTTGATTATATGACAGTTGTGAGAGCTTTGTCGATGACTTTGTGCTTGTTGTCATTTTCTTAATACTTTACTTCGTTTGATTTTATTTTGCTCGCAGGCCATATTTTTTTTTCAGCTGAAGTCTCAAGCGTTCGTTCGGTCTGCCCCTCCCCGAGTTCAGTGAACATATTTTCCCTTGAGAAGCACATTCGGTATCGTTCGGAACAGAGCTTGTTTTATTTCGTTGTACACAATATATATGCTCAATATTACAACATAAACTGCATTTTAATGAATTTAATATCTGTCAGTTATAATCACTGTCACGAAAAGAAATCAACAACCGTAAAAATAAGTTACACATTTGTTAGCAATCATGAACGACCAGAAGGATAATTGCTTCAGTCAGAGTGGCACTGATTGCTTGTTACCATGTTTCTACTGATTACTGACCTGGCTAGTCCTTTTTTTGGAGTAATTGGTTTCACTTCTGTCATTAGTTTATGATTTGCGTCAATCAAAAGATTCCTCAAAAAAATGTCTAAGGTAATTACAAAACTGCCAGTCGATGAAAAATGTCTAACAACGCAGGTTTTGGGTTAAAGCGAACTGTAGAAACGAGGTATTTATCTTAATTGATGAAGCTCGTCAGTAAACGGGCAATCATTGAAAATAGAGGTTAATCTTTTCAAGATGTACAAACCGAGACCTACGGTGTCTTTTTAAATTTTATCTTAAAATCGATCGACAAAGTCCGTTATTGGGAAATTAAGGCTGTTAATCTCTTGTCTACTAAGTTGAGAGAGGAACCTTTATCTTAAGTGAAATCAAATAGCAATACATCTTCCCTTTATATAAGCATTCCTGCAGTGACTCAGTCTAATTCGTGCAAGTATTCAACCCGTTCACGTTATTTTTCTTTAAAAGATGGAAAGTCATGCATTCAATCTCGGGTCACTAATGAAATATTGCTCTTGTGGGCATCACTCCTTGTAACAAAGGAAATTTAATATGACAGTCAGTGATATCAGACCCTCGTACCCTGGTGCAGAAAACACGTATACAGTGTTATGAGTGACAAAAAATGAGATGAAGTATTTTACTTTAATATCAATTCTTATCAGTTTGATAATAATAATAATAATAAAAAAATCGGTGAGAGGTTTTGCCGGCTTTTAACCCCTTCACGTACCAATCAGTTCACGGTGGTATCTTGGGTGGTTTATTTCAAGTCATTTCAGTGGATGTTGTTGTTCTTGATGATTTTTCCCGTAGGACTAATTAAAAACGGGGGTCTTTACCTTTAGGGCGCGGAAATCGAAATGCTCCGGAGCCGGGCGTTGTAAACGGCGTGGTTGTTTAGTCAACAAGATCCGACTAGATAAAAGCCAACTAATGACAAAAGTATTTTCTAATAAGAGACCACGGGTTTAAAGAACCTCAAAGGCTTCTTTCGAAATCACGACAGATAAACTGAACAATTCAAGTGTGTCTCCGTTAAGATAAATCTGGCAACCACAACTTGAAATAGCCGCCAACCGGTAAAGCAAAGCGCCACGCTCTCAAACGTCCCAATAATTTTATTGATCTATTCTTGGGTGCGATTCGTGTTATGCTATGTTAATATGCTTGGGTGAACTTGTAAAACGTATGGCATACTATAGGTAAAACTGTATTTTTTTTTCATTCATGATCTTTCTAAACAAATAACGGGTTTAGCCGAAGGAAATAGCCAATTGCAATTTAATAGTACTAAAAGATTTCAGCTTTTTGATGCCGAATTGAATATAGGTGTATGGTGAAAATAGAGGCAGAGAATTTACACAATAAGAGATTGCCTGACTATTTTATTACAAATTTTGATAGGGGCTTACCATTAATTATAGAGCCTAATCTTTTTTAATTAATATAGTTATAAGGTGCCAAAGAAATCTCTCTCTATATATATATCACGAAATTGAAATTAAAAAGTAATGAAAACATATGGCGTAAAGAATGATTGAGGAATAGAAAATTAACGTGAAATAATTGACGAAGAAGGCAAGCAATGTATGCCTTGTTAACACTTTCACGGGTGTGACATTCCGCTATACAGAATATCCCACCTGTATCGACTTTCAGGGCATGATTCAGCTTATTGCACAACCTTGGAATAATTTACAAGCCATGCAGTAGTTGTCCTCCTTTTGAAAACTGTTTCCGCAAGAAGAACATAGAAATTAAAATATTTTCATTCACACCGGTGGACACTGTCGTAGTTAAGTTTTGTTTATAATCTTTTGAGTCCGCTTTCGACTGTGGGTCATAAATAACTTTTGTATGCACCTGTTGTTCAGTTTAATTTTCCTTCTGACGGCATAAAGCAATGCAACGTTAACAGAAACTGGAGCTGCGAGTGGAAACTGCTCTGTGTTGAATATTCTGCCTGTAGAACGATGAAGTGTCTAGCGTGCGTGCCTGATTGATTCTCTGTTTACAGGTGGCACCAAGTCTGTGGTTTCAAGAATCTTCCCTTTTCCGAACCAATTTCAACGACTGTCGAAAATTGCGAGTCTGAAGGTCTAGAGATAATGGGTGGGCAGTGAGTCCTAGCTATCTTCGGCGCCTGGAGGACTCGATTGGGCGGATAAGACCGTTCCCAACAAATTGACAATCAAAAAGTCATATCAAGTTATCTACTAACTGTTGACAGCAATCCGGAATCGTGGTTGTCAGTATTTTTTAGCTACGAACAATAATATGTTAAAATTATCATTATCGCTGCTATGAAGATTATGTTTATTTATAAAGTACATAAACGAAAATTAAGAATGTTATTGTTTCTAAAACTTGAGTTACAAAGACCGATATTGAATGCCATGTCGCTAATCTTATCCACGAAACGTTGTTTACTAATTTGCTTGCGCGGTGGTCCATTCAGTTTTTGAACAAAACTATTACTAATTTCTTTATAACAATAGTTCTTCTTTGGGAAGAATTTATAATCTGCCATTTCCTGCGCGGTTAACCGATGAAGAGGCATAGTGGCAATATTTTGAATTGTTCATTAGGTGACCTAATCAAAATACTAACCTCTGTTTACCTTGCGAAAAGAAGTAAACATATTTTTAATTGACATTTGTGGCAATGGCGTTTTTTTCGAATCGGACGAGAGAATTTTCATTTGAGCGTTGCGATTTTACATTGAGGACCCTCCATGTTGTATGTGTTCCCACAGAGATGTGAGAGTACTCGACCACGACTTCCAGTTTTACTTCCGCTTGCAAAGATCGCACCCTGCCGGATATCGTCACCGCATGTGACGAAAGGGAAATACACAGCCCAAGTTAAATATCAAGCATACAAGCTGCATAGCTTTAGTCTGGTTTAGCCGTTGGAGGTGTAAAGTTCAGTTAGCTTTGACATCTGAGATACTACCTGACTGCGAGGATTTTTTGTGTTGCGTTATTACATCGCCGACAAGAACTTGATAAAAATGGGTAACTACTCTGTTGGATTACCCGAAGAGGAAGATTGCCATTTCTTGCCTCTAAAACACGTCTATGGAATGATGGCCGTGAATATTTTGTCAACAGTTATTGGCACAATCGGCAACGTGTTAGTGATCGGAACGGTACGCACGAATTACGCTCTGCAGATAATTTCCAACTTTTGGTTGGTGAGCATGGCCGTCGCTGATTTATTCGTAACAGCACTGGGGCAGCCTTTGTTCTCAGTTTTCCTGGGTCTACAAATCGGCGGCCAATGCAACATTTTCGTTTCGCAAGCGTTTCGCTTGATTGCCAACATGTCATGCTCGGCTTCGGTACTTCATTTGTGCCTAATCAGCATTGACCGCTGCCTGGTTATCCTCCGGCCTCACGATTTCAGAGAGATTCGGACCAAAAACCGGTTCAAGATAGCGCTAGTGATCGCATGGACATTGCCGATAGTTTACGGTATCCTACGCCTGACCGTCAGCAAAACGGCAACGTCTTATTTCACAGTCATAGCCGTGGGCCTTTGCTACGTGGCTATCATCGTATGTTACTCGCTGATTATTCTCAAAGTCAGAAAACAGGGCTCAGCGACACTAAAACGCTTTCGCAGTCAAAGCGGGAGAGGCGTTGCCTCGGAGCACGTTGTAGAGCGCCGTGTAACGGTCACTATAGCGATCGTTGTTGTTATTTTCACGATTTGCTGGTTTCCTCTGTTGTACCTACGCTCCGCATTCGCTGAAGAAAACTTTGGCGTCGCTTACAACTGGGCAAGAACATTGGCACTAACTAACTCATCAATGAACCCGTGGATTTATTGTTTCAGGATAGCTGAGTTCCGTCAAGCATACAGAAGACTTATTAGGTGTCAGTGGAAGCCTGTTTGTACGTGTAATGGAGGAACAGGAGAACAACGCGAGATGACCACTGGTACGCATTCTAGCGATTTGGAGACGAGCCATCAAGGACCGAATGCAGTGTAAAATTACACTTGTGCTCAGCGTGAGTTGAAAAAATAGTTTTTCCTGCCTGACAGACTGGCTGAGAACTAGCTGGCGAAATATTAGAAGACCTTTGCATCTGGGCTAGAAGTTTTCTCCACCTTTAACACCATTCTACCCCGGAAAATGAGCAGAAAACCTGGGAAGCTCAGCAAAGACTAAAATAGGTCGTCGATACCAACTGATGGAGAAAAGACACTCGTGATATGGGAACTTGCAAAAACGCTTAAGAGGACGTTTGACCATTGGAATCATAAATATCAATTACTTTACATAACGTAAAGAGTATAACTTTACTTTCCAGTCGCGTTTTCGTAATGACAAGTGTATATTATTACCCAATGTTTTTGTTCTGTGCGCTTTGTTGTCTTGATCGCATAATCTAGCTTCAGGGAGGTACGAAACTAAAAGTCTACAAAAACAACTTTTTTTCATTTTTTGAAATTAACTTGTCTGCCAATATAACTATAAACATTAAACAGTTGAAGTGTTTGGAGCATATCTTTTGTTAGTTTGTGATTGTAATGTGTCTAAATTGCTGAAATAAAAGCCTGAACAGTGTAATTTCTTTGACAGTTTTGAAGCGGCATTCAAACAAATATTGAAGATTCTCAGCCCTGATGCATGTTTTTGTCTCAGTGAAACATAAAATTCTTATCCGCTGGTTTTGTCTCCGGGAAATTCTTTTCAAAGAGGTTTGGGTGGTTCGGAGATTTTCTGTCATAAAAACGATCAAAGCGGGAGTTTTTCGTGTTGAATCGTTAAGCATGTATGTTTTATGCAAAATAAGCTTTAGCCCAAGAAAAAACAATATAATTAAGCGACTAGACGCTTGAATAGTAACATATTGGCAATCTTATTTTGTCCAAAAATATCAACCCGCGTACCCTTCATAGATTACATTACAAGAAACTTCCAGTTCCGGCGGTAAAGGCACGTTTGCCTCAATTGCTGACATATTTTTTCATGATTGCGTTTTCAAGAACAATGGCAAAACGACCCTTGCCCTAGATGAGCTGTAACTGGATCTACTTTAGACTTTGCAGGATGCAAAGGCCCGGGTCTCGAGTATTTTCTTCCTTGTTTGGCCGGGACTTTTGTGCCTGGAACAGGGCGGATGTTTGAAACGAGCGCGTCCGAGCAAAAAGGGTGATGCAGTGGACGGGAATCTGATAGAAATTTGCTTATTTTTTTCGGTCAGGGCTTGGATGTGGTTTTGTTTAGTTGAATTATGACGGCTTGACAAACGTTCCTCGCTGTTTCAAGGCAGATGGCTATTTTTCCTAGACAAACATCTCATTACTTCCATGACTCTACCAGGGAATTATATTTTCGTTCTATGTACTCGCCAATGTCGATGTTATTCCAAAACAAAAACAACTAAGTACTGTCTAAAACAGGAAGGAAAATCCCATCCATGTCATCCATTGCAAAACTAAAAGACAGCAGATCGTGTTTCATAACAAGATGACGTGTATTTTACAAATTCGTGCAGCTCGTGCAAGGTGGAATTATGCTAATTTCAATCACCATCATCCCTTTTTTTCAATTTTGAAAAAAAAACATCTTTTACGTCTTTCTGTTTCTTCGAAAATTCAAAATTAGTTTCCCCTCAGTTTTACTGTTTACCTTGTTTTGTTTTAGAGAGAAAAACGGAGAAAAGACCTTAAGACTAACCTCAATAAATTTTGTTTACATGCGGTTGCTGGATTTGCAACGCATTGCGCGAATTCGCCATGGCGCGTTGCATCCGAGAAGCAAAGTTTGAAGCAATGTAACACCACTAAATCAAAAATAATATACCAATCTAATTTTTTGTCATGTTATATAAAATTTATCCCCCTTTAACATATGTAGAAATTGAGGTTAAGAAATGTTAAGCTTTTGTAAACGAAACGGCGAAAGACGATTGAGTGATATTTAGTGGAAGTAAGAGGTATTTAACTTTACTCTTTCAAATGAAACTCAAATTTTGGCATTATACGACCAACAAGTTTGACTTATAGGCATACAGACACAGACATGTGAAACTGCTTATTGATATTGTTATGAAACGAATTTATCTATTTAACATTGTAGCCTGAAATTATAGAAAGAAAATAGGATTTCCGCTTTGCAAAAAGGAAAATTTCGCCGGCCTTCAAGCACACCGGAAGCGCGGGAAGAGCTCTCGTGCCAGTCCTACTCCGCATCACACATTAAATGAAGAGCGGAGCGCTCGTTTCACCGCCCAATCCGCCCTGGACGAGAAAGTCACTGGCACCCACTCTCTATCCCTACCCTCTTGTACTTTGGACGTGCGTTCATTTGGCTTAGCTTATTATTTGCCACCTTTCACTTCTAGTTTGCTATGTCGTGTTAGTTATGCCACGTGGTAATCAAAGACTGGAGTTTTTCTTGCACCTTCCCCAGAGGCTACGTAACACGTGGTTTTTTCCCTAGTCTCCCTCGCATCAGTTTCTGTCTCGTCACGCAACCGTTGTGTTGCGTGTTCTAACGGAACGAGACAAAAAAGGCTGCTTGGACAATGGCATTGCCTTGCTTAACGGTGGCCTATTCCTGGTTCTTTAAAAAATTCAATACATGACGATTCCTTCTCGGTAAGAATCGGCTACCACGTGACCACGAGGGAATATTTAGTATCGAGAAAATAAGTCGAACAGAAGCCATCAATATTGGTGGGCTCCTGTTCGAACTCCAGTTTTTGGGTGTTTTGGTTCAGAACTACAAATCAGGCCGCTCACCCTCTAGTTTCAAACTTAGCTCAGAAACAGGTTAAGGCAACCAAACGAAAACTGAATATATACACACAAATTTAAGCGACTGGGCAACGATCAAATCAACGGGGCTTGCCAAACCATCCTTCAAGGTAACGTTCAAAAGATGATGGGAGAAAAACTCCCCAAAATCATGCTGCAAGCTCAGCGAAGCCCTAGACTAGATCGGAGTGGAGAGAGAGAGGCTATAGAGTAGAGGGCTGCGGTTGCCAGGATCTGTGGCGCCTCAGTGGTACACAGCACTGGTATATAAGTCTGCGCGCGTGGAGTAACAAACTCTCTCAGAATACTTGAAAGGCAACTTAGCGGTGGCAGCGTTCCATGGCACATTTTGTACCCCGAAGGCGAGTACCGACCGCCTTACTGGCCCTTTCTCATTGTAGATGCCCTGAAGACCGAATTAAGATACGGGACTGCCGAACTAAATGTGCCAATCGGAAGTTACCAAGCAAACTACAGCAATTCATAAGGTGTGACAGAGAAAAGTTTATAGAGTGCAACGGAATTAAGTTCGTAATCAACCAGTGGAAAGGAACGACGGAGCAAGTCGAGATCAACACTAGTAGGAGTAAGGGTTCCTAGCCTGACGGGGGGAGGTTACTCCTGGAGGAAATTCTTGATGGGGGTACCATGTGCCGCCCGTTTCTCCAAATCCTGACCCTATTTCAGACCCAAAAATGTCATTTTCCACACCCGTTTTCAGACCAGACCTCTAAAATCTATGCCGTTTTTAGGCAGAAATTATGTCATCCTTACTTAGCCTCATGCCTCAGAGCGCAAACAAAAAATTCTTCCAATCCATTTCGAATTTGCACATTTCTCTTTCATTCCTACTCAAGTGGAATTGAAACGATAGATAATTCCATTCACTCCCGTAACTCCCTCGAAAACCATACCTGATTCCAGACCAAACTGGGTAAAGTGTATAACCTTCTCCCCGGCGAAGGGGGGGTACTCCCTTATAAGAGGCTAATGGGGATGTGCCGCTCGATGGCGTCGCATTTTCACGACTGGAGTGACTATAGTGGGGTCGCATTTTCAATAGATTTACTAGAATGGGGTCGCAAATTTTCGGATTTTTGGGGCAAGTAGGGAAGATTCTCGGTTAAAAAAATCAGAAAGTTGTTGTTTATTAAATTTTACAGTAAGCTCGCATTGACCGCATTACATTCCGCCCCTTGAAACCACATTGATAAGGTAGATGCATAAATAGAAAGTGACTAAGTTGGGATCGCGAAAATTACATTTTCCAAAAAGTGACTAAGATGGGGTCATTATAATTGGCCAAAAAATAGCCTATAATGGGGTAGGGGCTCTGAGAGGCCAGCGGCACATACCAGGCAAACATTAACCCAAGTACCCCCCAGGCCTTTTTCAGACCAAAAAGGCCCCAAAACCATACCCCTTTGGGGCGGCACATACCTATATGACTTATATATGTAGCCCCCCGGATTCCTAGAAAGACTGATCAATTAGATAGTAGGACATAACGAGATTATTCGCCATCAGAACTAAAATGTGACGAGAGATAAATCCTACAAAACAATGTCGAAATCGCAAAGTCATCTAAATGTGCAAATCGCGCCGAACTGAGCATTGTATCCATATTTTCAGGGGCGCCGTACACGCGCTGGTTAACTATGTGTATAGATCTACAATATGGAATGCGTAGTAGTGAGAGCACTCTCCTCCTAGCAATGTGACCCGGATTCAAATCCCGGCGTCGAGGGCACAGAGGTTTTCTCCGGGTACTCCGGTCTTGCCGTCTCCTCAAAATCCAACATTTACAAATTCCAATTCGACACCCTGATTTACGGATGGGCTACCTCTAAAAGAATCAGTTATTTATTATTTATTTATTAACTAATTATTTAATAACAGAAGCAGCGGGTCAAAGTGTCGCTCTTTACTCTGAATTGGGTTGGACTTTTTATTGTTTCTAAAAAATATGACAGAATTCTTGACCCAGCAAAACGAATAATTATTCCGCTCCTTGCATCCTTTCCACCCCTCTCAGAATTAAATAATTGTGATCCTTCCATGGGCGTAACCAACTTTTTGACTTGTTCGAGGCCTGTTCCCTAAAGGTAGCGTCTAAGGAGACCGGTAATACACTGCACCAGAATTTTTTTCTTTTGCAAAGACCGATCTTCAAAAATGTCTTTAATTGTATGCGTATAAAAGCTCGTCAAATAGATTGTATCTAAATTTCGAACTACTGATCTCAGTACCAACTATAAATAGAGCCTTAACTTCCGTCAATGGTATATGTGACCAGGAGCCATCGGCTCCTGTATATGTTAAAACCGAACCTATCCAGTAGCGACGAATAAAAGATCAATCGTCCTGTTTTTCCAGAGGCTTCGAAATCATCTAACCAGCATTAGTCTCCATTCTTAGAAAGTGTCACCCTTAAGGTCCTTAAGGGACGTCTGACTTGGGAGATGTGTGACCTTCAGTCCGAGTTGAATGAAACCCGGATATTCATTTTCATGCGCCTAATCTGTTGTTCCGCCATTCAGGTAATCTTCCATCGAATAGCAGTTAGTCTGCTCCAGGCGTTCAGAAAGTAGAGCGCAGCAGTCGGGTAGTAGGTTCATGCATGTTTATGTAGTCTTTTAGTAATTTTTTTGGAAATATTTTTATTCCTATAAGCGCTGATGAAAATAGCAATATTGATATCGGCGCTATATAAGTTATTATTATTATTATTATTATTATTGTCCCTATTATCACAGTCTTTGCTGGTGTTCTTTTTGTGCATCAGCCGGGCGCAAACATGCACTTAGAGCGTCAGTCACTCAAGTCAATCATTCTGTACATACACTGAGCACCTTTCTGAGGATTCGTGCAGATCCCAGCATGCAGATCTTTTGAATCTCTGTCATAGTAGCTCCCTCTGATACTTTCTTGATGTTTTCTACCATACCCTTCTTCACTGTACCAAGCGCACAAACAACCACAGGGATCACTACGGTTTTCATATGCCACATTCTCTGTATTTCTAGTTTTAGGTCTTTGTACTTGCATTTTTTTTTTTCAGTTTCCTTCAGTGCGATGTTTCTATCTGATGGAACAGTCATATCAATCAGTTTGCAGGTGGAATT